TACCCAATTATAATTCACCTGATTCTCCTGTGTCTTAATGGAAGAGTTGTTATAATGAGTCTGGTCACACAGCATTTTAACCAAGTTTACTTTCCTGGATTCAAATAGACAAAACTGTATTAAAATGGTAGCTCTTCTCCCGTCTTACTGACCAAAGTGCACATTTTAAATACTGTACTCAACAGTAATTCTCCTCTCACACGACTGTAGGTGTGTAGATGTTTTTATATTTTCCCATTATATAGAGTCAACTTCCTTTATAAAATCACCTGTTATACTGAGCATATTTGCGATTGTAAAGATCATCTGACCAGTTATGTTTCAGGGGAAACCCTGGGTTAGCAGAGCAAATGATAACCAGCTTTGTGTGACCGTTTTACCTGACTATCAATGTTAAGGTGAGTTAATCCAGATAATGCTAAAATACCCTGGGTATTTTGACCTCACTCAGAGGCCTCTGGGGTGTTTTTTATAAGTATTTCTTATTTATGTAATTTTATAGACAGAAGACTACAGCGACTAGAACACAAAAAGGGATTTAACACTTAGTGTGGGGCCAGTTAACGACATTAAAACAACACTATTCAAATATCATATATATATATTACATATATATTAAATATATATTACATATATATTACAGTATTCGTAACAACACGCTAACAGATGCACATAAGTAAAAAACAAAAAACCTGACTTGAAGTCTTACCAGAAAACACCACCGCAGGAATCACAAACAAATGGCAGAAAGTCTGTGAGAAGAACACGGAGAACGTGTTAAATATGTTGTGAACAAAGACCATAAGTACGCTTGTCCAGTTCAAACGATGAGATCTAACAATTTGCTCCAAAGTAGCTCATTAAACTAGTCTGACACTTTTAATCAGCTTCATTCACGTTACTTATATTTACATAACATTAAGAGTACAACTGACGTAACTCATTTAAAGACCGAGCTGAATTTCCTTGTGGGAGTTTGTAGTTTTAAAGAAGAATGCTTGATAATAAATTGAGTTTTATCCGAGGGAACCAACGCTAACAAGCGTTAGCGCACAGGCTAAGCATGCTAAAAGAAAGACGATTGGCGTTTTCATAATAATTAAAACAGCAGAATAAAGTCGCACCCCAACATCTTTATTTACTGTGCTTCACACAAAAATACAACGGACCTTTCAGATTGCAGGAATCAACCTGGCAATGCTTCCCGACGTCTAATTCAGCCATTAGCTAACCGAAACAGCGTCAGCTGAGATCATCGACACGAACTTTGACCCCAAATGCGTCGTCACGTGACTGAGACGGTTTTTAAGAAAAATAAAAATAAAATAAAATTTTTTAAATGTTTATATTTTTTTATTATATTTGTGTAACAGGATTCACGTGACTCACATGTAAAGTAAAATAAATTAACAATTTCATTTATCCACAATTTTTTTTTCACAGTAAATAAAATTCAGTTTTTTTCTGGTTTTATCAGCTTAATCAACGTATCTGTTTGTACAACTAAATTAAAACGTTAAAACGAGATATGATGCACTGTTGTATTATCCCGTTTGGAGAGAAAACACGGAAAAGACGCAAAATTTAAGCCCTGGTGGAAACGGGAGGTAAGGCGTCAGGTATCCAGACGTCACGCAGGTATCTGCGAAAGGTGTGGCGAGAGTTGTGTTCACTGGCTTGTTTGAAAGCACACAAAGCCGTCGAGCTGGAATATCTGCCCGCAACACACCCGCCTTTAGAGAAAAGAAGCTTGGACGATCGTTCAGAGTGTTTTGCGTTTTAGTTACCAACAAAGTTTACCCCCCAAAACAGCCAAAATGAGCAAAATCTCCAATTTGTTCAAGGGGGGCTCGAAACACAAGTCGAAGGGAAGCCCTTCGGCCCAGGAGGCCATCCACAAACTCCGGGAAACAGAAGAAATGCTGACAAAGAAGCAGGACTACCTGGAAAAGAAGATAGAGCAAGAAATTGCGATAGCCAAGAAGCACGGCACGAAGAACAAGAGGGGTATTTATATTTGTTTTTATGATGGTCTGAAAAAATGTGTGCACCTGTTCCTCCACCGAGGCCAGGCCAGGACACACTAAGCCTCCAGGAAGTCTTATCTTGTACACTTCTATATTTTAATCTTTTGTCCGGGCAAATATCAAAACAAAAGACGTGGTTTATGGGCCTTTTATATCTCATTTTACATTTCTGTTGTTCTTGCTTAATAACTTGATGTGTGGTAGCAACAGCTCATGGGTTAAACCGAAGACACAATGTCTATATAAACAGAGTTTATAAAAACCTGACTCTTATTTCTAACAAGTCTTTTTTGTTTTGTTTTTTTACAGTGAAAATCCCATAAAACCTTTAAAATGTACATTTTTAGACTCTTGCGACTACAAATGTACCAGCTTTCATAAATCCTAGTTCACATATCAAAAATTTAAGGTGGATGACACTTTCGTTATTTAGATAAATGTGCAGGAAAGTGTTAAACAACTCTTAAATGTACAGTGACACAACTGTGAATACTTCCCTCGCAGTGATTGTCTTCAGTGTGTCATTGACAATGCCTGAAAATACAACAGGTTTCTAACAAGTAAAACAACAAAAGCTTTTTATTAAACCTGAAAGGTACCTTCCCTCAGAGCTGCACCTACAGTCCTGGGTGGCATGGACTGTTGTCTCAGCTGCACTGGTTGTTGACTAAAAATAAACATCACCCTGTGAAAGGGAGGAACCCTGTCTTTTGTTTGTTTTTGTTTTTTTGAAGACACATGACACTTTTGGAAATTTAACTGCACAAGTGACTTCTGTGTCCTCTCTGTGTCAGCTGCCCTGCAGGCCTTGAAGAGGAAAAAGCGTTTGGAGCAGCAGCTCACCCAGATTGATGGCACGCTCTCCACCATCGAGTTTCAGAGGGAAGCTCTGGAGAACTCTCACACCAACACGGAGGTCCTGAAGAACATGGGCTATGCTGCCAAGGCCATGAAGAAGATCCATGAGAACACGTAAGAAGCTGCTCACACAAGGCAGAAACCCCCCTGAGCTTTGGTCTTACTTTCCCCCGGTAGTCCTGGCTTGGTTGTGTTTATGTGCAGAGATGGTTTCCTTTTGAACAAGGAAACATGTGACGTAAATTAATTTATGAGCCATATTTCAGAAGGAAAGCTGCAACATACAATCAAAAATGTATATTTAGTCAAAATGATGAATAAATCCTAATACTTCTTTGGTGCAGTTTCAACACTACTGAATGTTGTGTGTGATAATTGAACACAGAGAATCTCAAACAGAATTTAATTAAGAAAGCAAGTGCGGTGTTTTAAGTGAGTGAAAACCCTTTCACCTTCTTTCACTCTTACTCTCATTCTCAGGGATTTGGGGAAGATCGATGATCTGATGGCAGATATCACCGAGCAGCAGGACGTGGCCCAGGAAATCAGTGATGCTATCTCCAGACCTTCTGGGGAAACATTTGATGAGGTGGAGACTGTCTCAGTGTTTATAAAGACTTTTTTTGGCACAGATATTAAAATATGCTTGGTATTTTGCTGTGCGGCACGTGCTCACCTTTCTTTTTATGTTAGGATGAACTGTTGGCTGAGCTGGAGGAGCTAGAGCAGGAGGACCTTGAAGAAAGTATGATGAGTATGGGCGGACTGCCCAGCGTTCCCAGCTCCAAACTGCCTTCATCAAGATCCAATGAGCGTGCAAGTAAGTTTCTAACAACTGACAGATCTTACATGTTATGGCCATTTTCACACGCTTGCCTGCAAACTGTAATACTGCCCGAACTTTAAAAAAAAAACACAATATTTTTTAAAAATGTATCTATTAAATTATTAATTTTAAGCATATTTCTGTTAATTTGATCTTTAGTGTATTTATTTGAATATTATAAAATCCAATTATAATCGCAAAAATGTAATAATGGAAACTGATTGTTTTTTCTCCATTGTGAAAATGTGCTGCACTACATGCACACAACAGATTTTAAGGCTTATTATAAATCCATTAAAGGAGAAGATTCTTTTTGCCATCAGTAAAATGGTAAATTTTCCATATTTAGTCCACAGCATTGATTATTAATTGTTTCCTCCTTTTTTACAGCAACCAGGAGAAAGGTTGAAGAGGAAGATGACATGCGCATGCTGGCATCGTGGGGAACTTAAGTACACTAAGGCAGCCTGTTTCCTGAAGAAAGCATACACAGAACTATAAAAGGATCTTTCTCACAGTCTTTTTATTATTATTATTATTATTATTATTATTATTATTGAAACACATTTCAATAATGAAGAGCAATATGTTGTTTTTGAGTAAACCTTCAGCTACATGACTAGTAATATTTATCAAGAAGTGAAGGAATAGGTTTTTGTTCCCATGTGTGAGGGGTTTTTTTTGTTGTTGTTTTTTGTTTGGTTTTTTCTTTTAATGGAAAGTTATGGAATGTAATTTCTGCCACTACAATAAAAAAAGATTTGCCATATACAATTTAGTGTTAATATCTCAAAATTTGGGGTTGTGTATCTTAAATGTCTGAGAAAATAATGTTAACTTGAAAAATAACAAACTTTGACTTATGGATGGAAATTGTTTGCCGCCTTTGTCAGAAACAAACTTTCATAGAAACCATACTAATCTATGACAGAAAATTTTTAAAGGGTCAATGAAATTGTAGCTAGGGCTTGACTAATGCTTTTTATAACTAAGGGAAAAACTGTACTTTATTCAGCTGTAAATAACTTGTTGTAATGTTGTAAATACAGGCTATTGCTTTATCCCTGTTCCGCAATAAAAGTCTTATACATATCTCAAAGTGTTTATGTCCTCTTTTTCTAAAAAATAATGATTATTAAAATTTGTTATGTAGCTATGTATTCTTGTGGTTATATTCTTTTCGAGTCTTAAGTAATAACTAAAAACCTTTTAAATTGAGGATATTTGAGTACGTTTTAAGCATCCGGTTTTTAAACGATGTGCTTTTATTTTGAAATCAGGGACCGGAAGTTGTGCATTTGCATTCGGATTATCCGGTAACTTCTGTCCTCAAGTATTCCGGCGAACTAGCCGCCCAAAGACAAACTAAGACCATAATTCGGAATTTAGCGGAACATGGAAGCGAATAAACCAGTTCTGACCTCAGGTAAGATTTAATTTTATCGCAACTCAAACAACTTAAGTTTGTGTAAGTTATCAAATAAAGACGGGGCGTTTCCGGGACTGTCAAAATTAGCATCAAACTTAGCAGTTTCGAAGCTAAACGTCCGATCCGGATTTTGACACGTTTCACTATATCGGCAAAACACAACTGAAACGTATTTAAGGTTTATAAGAAATTCTTTTAAACCACAAAGGCTGTCAGTCATAAAACTTTAACTAGATGTTATCGATAACTGGAAACTCAGTTTCCGCCTTAGTTTAATATTTGAAACATTTCCTTTTCACAGTAAATGTATTCAGCACACCAGCAAAGGTTTTAGTACATCAAAAGTTTATAAAGTAGAGATTAAGGTTAATTTAGGTGACTCAACTAAGAATGCGTGGGAAAACACATTTTAGATAACTAAAGTATAAGTCAAAAAAGATGAAGTAACTTAAAAATGTGGACCGGGAAGGAAATAAAGTAACCATATATAGTAAATGTATAGGTTTATTTTATTTGGAACAAAATCTTCGTTAATTTGGTCGATTTTGCTCAACGCAACCGGCCCCAGCAGGCTTTGCTGCATAATTTGGGAGGTCTACGTGACTGTGGCTCAGTTGCCTTCACGACATGTTATAAAGGCAACCGACTTCTTTAAAACCTCTTGCATTTTCCCTCTAACAGATACCCCTCGTTCGTTTTAACGAGTAGTGTTTGCTATTTGAAAAATACTTAATAAACTTTTAAAAACTGAAAAAAGAAAAAAACGAATGCTTTTATACCATCAAAGGTACACCGAAACAATTAAATGTTACTCCGGCACACTGACTCATTTACCGCTAACGTATTTCGGTCCGACTGAGCGCAATTGGGTAGACGTATTCACACGTTTACCACGGGTTTCAGGAGGTAGAGCAGTTCATCCATCAGTGGAAGGCCGATGTTTTGATACCTGGCTGCTTCAGTCTGCATGCCCAAGTCTGTATCCTGATCCTCATGTTGCTTTCCGATGCATCTGTGGGAGTATCTGTGTATGTTGTGGTTGGGGCAGCCAAGAAGAGGGCCACGCAGACTATGAGCGAAGCGGCAGAGAAAGCCACAAAGTGGCTGTGGTTTAAGAGGGCTGATCCGTGGCTAGCTACTGGTACGCAAGTCAGGGCCTGATCACCCCCGGCTGGGTCGCCTGTGTGAGGGTGTAAGATGTTGCGAGACCCGAAACACCTGATGACCCCAGGATACATCATTGAAGATGCGTGCCAGTCCATCCAGGACATGTTTCTTGCATAGTGTGTGAATGTTAGGAAAAAAAGTGCTTGTATAGAGGAGTGTGAATGAGGCATGTTGCGTAAAGAGTACTGAGATGCTATGTAAGAGCCAATCATAGCATACTGGGTGTATACCATTAATCAAGTCATAAAACCAACAAACATAAGTTTAGTTACAGTCATTGTGACATCCACACAACCTTTAAGCTTTTTGTTCGTACAAATTATATCCCAAAATACATTAATTATATATACCAGAGTCAAAAGATATAATCATTAAGGTGTATAGCAATTATAAAACATTTCATTTTGACATTTTTTTTCACAATTTTATACACAGTTTGGTCCATATTGACATGATCGCATCAAGCACTAGCTGGAGCTGCCAACTGCAGATCCCAAAGGTGCTCGAATTGAGAGCTGCTGCTTACTGGATATTTTCTCTTTTTCGGACCATTCTCTGTAAACCCTAGAGATGGGCTTGTGTGTGAAAAATCCCTGTAGATCAGCAGTTCCTGAAATAGTCAGACCAGCCCATCTGGCACTGACAACAACTTTTAAAGTCACTTGAATCACCTTTCATCCTCATTCTCACGCTCTGTTTGAACTTCAGCAGGTCATCTCGACCGTGTCTGCAGGTCTAAATGGATTAAATTGCTGCCAAACAACTGGCTAATTAGATATTTGCATTATAAGTTGAACATGCTTTGAATGAAACCCAAAGTTAGGTATTTTTATTTGTTTAAATGTAGCGCTATCCAGTGGTGGCTTAACAGGATTCAGAGCTAATAAGCAAATTTTTGCATAATAAATAAAATTTATTCATTTTATTCATTTGAATATATATTTTTTAATTTAAAATAAATGCAAAAAAATTCAAGCAAGCAATAATACTAATAATCATGAGTATAATGACGATAATAATTATTAATACAATTATTTGTACTGACACTGACTTTTTTATGATTTTTACGGACCGTAGCTGGACAAACCTCTGGACCAGACGAGGTGGCCAGAAAGGCAGGAGCTGAAGCCAAGGAGGCCAACCGCCTGGATGAAGTTCGTCTGGTGGTGTTGGGATGGAGGTGGCCGGGGAAGAGCTTGACAGGCAACACCATCTTGGGCAGAGAGGAGTTTCATTTAGAGCGAGCTGCTGAGTTCTGTGTTACGAGGCAGACGGAGGTGCAGGGACGACAGGTGACAGTGGTGGACACGCCAGGATGGTTCTCTTCCCAGGATACTCCGCCTTCCTATAAACAGGAGTTAGTCAGGGGAGCCTCTCTTTGCCCTCCAGGTCCACACGCCTTCTTGCTCGTCATCCCTGTTGGCATGTTCACCGAGGTGGACCGTGCTCGCCTTGAGGAACACGTGAGCCTCTTTGGGGAGGACGTGTGGAGGCATACAATTGTGGTGTTCACCTGGGCAGATGTGTTGAAGAAAATCTCCATCGAGAGGTACATTCGTAGGGAGGGTAAAGATCTGCAGTGGGTGCTGGAGAAATGCAAGCGGAGGTACTTTCTTATTAACAACTGCATATTTGGGGAGAATCCCCAAGTGGGACACTTAATAGAGAAGGTGGAGAAGATGGTGGCAAAAGAGGGTGGGCACTACAATCCAGAGGAGGCGAAGGAGAAGAAACCTGTAGATGAGAATCGGAATTCGTCCAAGGAGGAAGAGGAGCTGGGAGCCCAGCCCAAGCAAAACTCTAGAGTGGGTTTGTCAAAAGCCAGAGAGGTGGAGGCGCTTTCAAGTGAGTGATGAGCTCATGTCACAATGGAGGACATTTCTATGTATTAAATATCACATGAAGTTCATCTGAGATGTTAAATCAGCTTCTATAAATATTTTTAATCATTTAATCATATTTAAGCGCTTGTATGTAAAAAGGAATGAACCCACACAAAACTATCACCTGACTATACAGTTTCCTTCAACTCCACGGAGCATTAAAGTTTTTAATGGTTGAACTTTTTTTAGTAGTAAACATTTGTTGTCATCAGCATTATTTTTGGTCACAGCAAGTGGCCCTTTGAGAAAAAAGCTCTACAAAAACAGCCACTTTATCTGCTAATCATAGGTCTCAGTGATGTTTACTGCCAACAGTCTTTTCTGCAAAGAAGATGACAACAACTGCTGGATGGCAGTGGCTGATTTTGTACTGACAAACTGAAGAGTTAATAATTGTAACAATTTTTTGTTTCCCAGCTACAAAAGGTAAGCAGGCAGTTAGTTAGGGCATGTAATTAGCTTTTATTGGAGTGGTCCTCTACACCAATCCCAGTTTTTCATATTGCCCGCCCCTGTATTAGAGACTGTCTCTGGCAGCTAAAGTGTTATACCTTTCCATCAGAAGTTGAAAGAGTCCAACTTGTGTTATAGTGCTAACTCCAGTATTGAAACTAAAAATGGCTGCCTGTTATCACAGGGATCAGTATGGGCTATGAGACCACTCGTGTAAGTACGGTAACAGGGAGAGGTAACAGAAATCAGTCCATTTTCTCATTATTCCTGGCTATTTGACAAAAAAAGTACTTGTAAATGTACATGTATGTAAAAAAATCTTCTTTTGACAAGCTTTGAGCTACAAGATTAAACCTAAACAACAGAGATGCAGGCTGTAAAACCAAACTTGGAGCTGAATGTAAGGTAGAGTCGGGTAATAATTATTTGTGGGTTCATCACTATGAAGAGCTTAGTTTTATTTATTTGTTATAGAGGATGACTGCTTTAAGGAACACATTACTCCACACAGGTACCTTAAAGTAGTCTTGTTAGCCTGTTTCATCTTATCGCTGCTTTGTGGTGAGTGTGGTTTAGATTTCAGATGAAATTATAATCCTTCCTCTAGGTTTCCTATAACTGAAGAAGAGCAAACCTAGGAATATCCTTTTGTTTTTAACATCCTTGTTGTAACAGTGATGTCGTGACTGTGCATGAAAATTAAGCTTGTAAACTGGAGTCTTGCTATAAATTATTAACAGACTGTGTGTTTGGTTCTAGATTAACGAGACATTCATGACTGACGGAGCCTCTAACCCACGACTAACGAAGCCTCTTCCTTACTGATCTGATGGAAAAGCTGCTGGTGTGTTGAGAGGAAAAAATGGCAAAAAATACCAAAACAACTGAAATGTTACTGAATGTAAAAATCAATGTGATATATTTATTTTATTTTTTTAATCAGTCGTGGACATTTTTAAGGAGCTCAGTGTGATATAGGAGGCCTTTAAGCCCTTTAGTTCATGTTGTCCAGAGACTTGCTGTCCCGCTTTTACCCAGAATTAATTCTGGTTAATCTTACTAGGTTTGCAATACAGTCTTGTGGGGGGTGGTGTGATGAAATCTCGAACAGAAACACAAGTTGTTACATAAATATTGCCAAATGTAGTGTGTACACTCCTTACCGGATACCAATGGCAGAACTGCACTACTAAATTGTCCCTGTAATATCCTGTTGATTACTGGTGAGGGGAATTGCTTTGCAAATAATTCCCATTTGTTGTGACCAAACTGTAAATGTGTTTCTAATGTTGCATTATTACACACGTACATATTTAAAGCACTTGAGCAGTTACTGGTTTTTTTTTCTTTTGTTTTTTTGTGGTTGTTTTGATGTGTTGCCTTAGATGATAAAGTTGCCTTAGATGATTATCTTGTTGCAGAAGGATAATTAAAGGAAAGAATAACTATTACTCAATATACAGGAAACTTAGGTTTTGATTTAAATCATTTTCCAGCAAAATATGGATTTATGGTTAATTATCTCATAGCAAATTCAGTGTCTTTGGGTTTGGGGAAAAAGATTGAATTTCAAGGTGTTTCCTTTGTTTCTTATAGATTTAAGATTATGTTTCCAATAATCTGAGA